ATGCCACGATATGACAGTAGTCGGGTTGATGTCTAGATCAAAATGTATCAAAACTATCCAATAGATATCAATCGATTATAAAAAGACTCGTGGTTGCCACGAGTGAGGCCATACCGCCAAAGTGTCGATGATGTCACAATGATGTCTGAGGTCCATGTACAGTAACAGGTGTGAATTTTCCACCACCTCGCGTATCCCAAGCTGCAGGCCCACAGCGTATGCAACACCCCTTTTCTAAGCGACGCGTGTCAAACAAATGCTGGATGATCCAGCCCAACTCGACCAAGGGCAGTCTGACTGCCATCATGCAAAGGGGCTGACTATCTGTGCTCACCTGTGCTGGGATAGTGGGGTCCATGTGGACATCTTTTCATGGAAGCATGCAGCAAGCATGCTTTCTTTGCCGTTCCAGCGCTCATTCTGAAGATTTCTGACCCCCCTAGCACTCCCCACACAGACTGGTCATAACCCCGCTGATTCCAAACGATCTACAGGACCTAGAGCAGCTGCAAAGCCAGTGTTGACCTCAAAACGACCAGTGGACTTGATCATTGAACAAACTGCCATCGGGCCCTCTTGGAGCCCCTGCTGTGGAAAGCGGTTTAGCATGGTTTAGCTATTGTGGTTTCATGTGATGTCCCATTCTCCCTATCCTTGATTCCTTGAGGTGGAGCACCTGGAGACCTTCAGCACCTTTCATGTCTCAAGTCTCCACGGTGATGAAACACCACAAACTTGGATGCAACATGACGCTTCATGCTTGTCAAACAGGCCCATTCCAAGCTAGCCAGCAGTAGCCAGCCACAATAGGAAAGCAATTCTCATCTCTATGCTGTCTGCTTCCAGGTTGCACCATGCTCATCAAAGCTGGCACATCCGTAGCCCTCTGGGCCTTGTGGCAAGCATCCACGCTAAAGGCATGACCTTATCATTCATGCTTGAGCCTGCTTGAGATTTGTAGGCCGTTTGGGGGTCATCTGTTTTTTGGAACAGAAAGGCGCGGCGTTTCTGAAAAGTTTGCAACCCCCAAGGGCCCCCAAGGGTCACATTCTCAGGACTTCAACCACACCAAGGATTCAACTCCTACTAGTACTGTGAGATCACTGCATGCCACTGCCAGGCTGTGCGTATCAACAGGTTGTTCAATCTTGAATGCTTCCGAGGTGCATATGACGCTGGGAGGGAAGCCCTTCTGGTCCATGGAGTGTAACAAGGCCATGGCCTGGAGCTCTTGCAGCTGATCCAAACACATCAATGACCATCAACGCATAAAGCTACTAGCAGCAAGAGGCTACTAGGTTGGAGACCATCGCTACTAGGGTGGAGGCCATCGCTATTAGGTCGCAGGCCATTACAGGGGCATCGCCAGTAGCAACAAGTTCATCGCTACTAGCAGCAAGAAGCTACTAGTAACAGACATGTAAATGCTCTGCAGCCTTGAACATGTACAACATGATTGACCCTACACGGTTCCATGACTCATGAATACCAGTTACTACTCCCACTTGCCGGCGGTTGCGCAGGGAGTCCCAAGCCCCTACGAGAAGTCTAGATTAGAAGGCCTTTGCGAGGAGGGTTCTTGGAAGGGTAAAGGCATCTCCTATGACCCTGGAATCGGCCAAAGTACTACCAAACGCCAAAGTACTACCCAGCAAACTTCCACTTCGATTTTCATCCCAAGCTTTCCGCCAGAGCCACTTCCAATTCCCATCGCTATAAGTTCTGAAAATCACACATTTCCTCACAACAAACCTTTGATATCCTTTCAGAAGTACCCCCTTGGACCTCCTCGCCAACCTTCAACCCCCCCTACAAAAGTCGTGGCCTCTGCCCAGCCGCCGTCAGAGGCCAAAGCCTCTGCCAGCACCGCCCAGGTGACCCTGTTCGGCTCGATGGATGCCTCCCAAACACCCCTCCGCGAGCCCGTGGGGAAGAAATCCAGGGTAGAAATGGACCCCAACAAGAGTTGATATAGCAGCCTCAAAACAACTCCTGACAGGAATGGCCCTCGAAGTCCACTCCAAACCAAACACTAAGCGAACAGCACACCAACGACTGCACTGTTTTACATGGCGCGCCAAGCTCAGCTACAAATGCCCTCCCACTTGGACCAAACGATCATGAAAGATTCGGATGGATCTTCACATGGGGAGGAAAGGGCTTCAAAGAATTCCAAATTCAATTTTCATCATCATCTTGTCCATCCGTGTCCTCGTTCCACCCGTGTGGTGGAGTTGGAACTTCACCGCTTGTTTCTTCCTGCAGCCTTGTCCAACAAACTCGACACATGCCGTCCTTGTTGAGGACTCTGGAACTCGACCGGAAGCTGTGGCAATCATTAAAGACATGCCATCTAGTGCCACTTTCTGTGTAGTAGCAACTTCCCACACGCATCCTTACGAGGCGTGTTCGAATCCGGAGCAGCTCGTCACGAGACTCCTCAACTTCATTGCGCAGCTCTCGGGCTTCGGCCCGCAACATGTAAATGATCTTCTGCTGCCAAATCAATGTACGGACAAAATAAATGAACTTGCACATGCACCTGTACACACCATAGCCAACCATGGGAATGCCAACTAACAGCGACACTATCGTCACGCCAAACATGTAGCTGAAAAAGAAGTCACTCCAAGTGTTCTCAAAATCACTCAGCTCTTCAGTTTCATTCATTGCTCCAACCGCTGGTGCACTGCTTGCTGCAACAACCATGGAAATGCGTGCTGCAACATTGTTTGTGTATCCAAAGGTCCGAGCAGTAGATTCTTGACGTGCTTCCTTGTCCTTCTTCTTTGCTGCTGTGTAGCTGCTGTCGTGGACAATGCTCAGCCACCCACTGCGAAGCATCTCAACCATCTGTTGTCGGGTGTGCAACTTTGTCAACCCGTCTGCCAGCATCCTTTCGCTACTGACCCAACGGAGTTCCGTCTTGAGACGGTGGATCTCCTCTTTGATGCAAAGGATTTCGATTCCAGCTCGTTTGTCAGCTGAACTTCCAATGCCATCTTTCTTCAAACTGTCGTACAAGGCCTTGGCATCGATGATGATCGCTGAACTTCCACAGTCTGCGGCCGTGGACTCTGCTCGTGGATCAAGGTCTGGTTCGACCATCAATGCTATCATCGACTTGACCATCATCAACTCATCCATTGCTGCTGCACATGCTTGACTCTCTGCACTCAAGCTTGACCTGCAGACACGTGTGAGCTTGAATGACCGCCAGCTAATCAAACTGTAAGGAACATGCTCACCCTTCAATGCTTTCTTCGAAGTCAACACCACAACATATCCACCTTGTGAACTGCCATCGCTTCTCACATTGAAAGCTGCATCTGAAAAACACAACAGACATAGGTCATCAAGACCATTGCACACTGCTGTCATGTTGAGCTTGAAATCCGACGCTTGCTTGCCAAAACGTAATGCTTTGTTCAACTCTGTGAGGAGCTCAACCTTGGCTTTGTTGATGCTGGATGCTGTCAGCGAAGTCGATGCACTCAGGTAGGGACATCCTTGGCCTGCCGGCCACTGCAAGGCACCGATGAGAGCTCGTGCCTTTGACACCTCGGATGGTGTGAGGTCATCTTGTTGGTTCCTACCCTTCTGTATGGTGACGGGCATGACCTTCTTCATGTAGCCTTCGAAATCAAGACTCACTGTTTCGCCTTTCTTTGCAATGCGTCCTCCACAGTAAATAATGTCCTCCTTTTCTTTCAGCTCTTGCCACTTGCCAAAATCGAAAGCGGACTTGACCCCCTGTAGAATTTGCACTGCTTCTTTGTCTCTCATGTTGACGCTCAACAACAAATCATCAACGTGCAAAATGATCAACCCAACCAATGCTGTTGCTGAGTTGTACATCATACAGGTGCACTTGCACAATCTGTGTCTCTTGAGCCCCAACTGCCTCAACCTCTGGTCAGCCTCTCTCCACCGCAACAGTGGAGCATCACACAAACCGTAAGCCGACTTGCGCATCCTCATGAACGTGGGCCCCTTTGCTCCAAGCATTGCTGAACAATCTGCCGGCAACTTGACAATGATCTCACGATCAAATGTTGCACCACTGAGGAGCGCGGCTCGAACATCACCACGAAAGATTGTCCCTAGGAGGATCATCTTTGAGGTCTTGTTTGCTGTAGGTGAAGCCTTCTCCAGGTTGAGGTAATCTGGATCTTCATACCCTCTGAGAACGAGGCGTGCTTTTGCCCTGCGTTGGAACTCACCTTCTTTTGGGGGCTTCCACACAAGCACCCATCGAGCAGAAATCAACCTGCTGCGTTGATGCTGTCCCAACTCTGCAAATTCCCACACTTTGTTGTCAAAGTACTGTCGAAGCTCCTGTTGCTTTGCTTTGATCATCTCTTCTTTTTCAGCCAGCGTCATGCGTTTCTCACTCACCTCTGCAAGAAACATTTCATCCAACCAAAAAAATCCACCAATGAGTCGCCAGCCCTTGGGTAGTGCACCACTCTCCATCTCAACGATGTAGGCATCGTCAATGAAAAGGTCTTCATCACTGTCAGGGACTGGAATGCTGATTGCATTTCTAGCACGCTTCAAGGCCAATTCTGAGATGTCATCTTCCGCCTCCCTTTTGTGTTCATCACCAACAACTGAAGGCGGGCACTCAGGAACATCTGTGGAAGGTGAACCTGTCGACATTGGTCTGTCTGTTGTCCCATCGTTGCGACCACGCTGATACATCAACACTGCACCAGGCATCTCTGAGTCTGGGACTGCTTGATCACCTTCATCTCCTGATGGAGGTTCTGTGGGTTCATACTCTTCATTCTCATCATCATTCATGAGGTCCTCGATCTCATGTTCGGGCTTCTGCATCACATCTTTGAACTGGGTGGTGCTCCTGGCTCGTAGTGATTTCAAATCTTCATGCGCCGCATGGGTGTCAACGGGCTTGTGAAGTCCAGCATCCTTCACCAATGGACGGACTTGGTGAGGTGAACACCTGAGGAGTGATGTGCCATGACAAAGCCACAACACTAACTGCTTTCCTTCATCATCTTTCTCCTCAGCCACGCAGCGAGCTGGTCCTCGCCACACTTGTTCTTCTGCAAGATGCCTGACCTCTGAATTTTCTGAATGCGCCAGTAGTAGCACATCTGTCCAACAACAATGTGATGCTTTGTCCTCTTGAAGTTCTGTTGCATTGCTCGACGAAGCCTTGCATCAGAGTCTGCCTTCAAGAAAGCCATCTGTGCAGCTAGACGTTTTGCCTGAATCTGGTCAAAGTCGAGGGGATCGTTCATGGGAGACAAGTTGGGATTTAACACTGCTGATGTCAAACTGTATGTATCTGCAGCCGACCGTCCGAGAACCCACTGTGCTGGTGTGAATCCTCTGGTATAGCTCAACGAGTTGATCTGACCTGGACAGTATGTTGCTGCTTCTGACAGTGTTTTCTTGTCTCTGCGGCCTCGCTCCTGCATGTAAATCTCCAAACAACGACGAACAACCTGATGCTTCCTCTCAATGGAGCCAATCCAGTTGTGACTCTCTGCAGGGGCAATCTCAAGAACAATGTGCCGTTCTGAACACCAATCTCTGAGGTATTGCGCCGCGAATCCCTTGCCTTCATCAACCCTCAAATATTTTGGAACTGCAAAATGCTTGATCCAACTGCGCTCAATGCCTTTTACCAAGTCAATCGATTGTTCACTTTTCATGATCCGGATGGCAATGTAACGAGTTGCTTGATCCATCAATGTCATGACACAAACTCTGCCGTCATCGGTGTCAATCCAAGCTGTATCTGCAAGAAGACGTTCACCAAAAACACGGGCAGTGAGTCCAGCTGCTGGGGGAACTCCAGCAGGGCCTTGCCTGATGTAGCACTCTGGACACACATATCGTTTTGCTGCTGTCATGACATTGTCTGTAGCTTGCGCTTCCTCAAGCATTCGACACAACACATCTGTCCCGGGATGTCCGAGATTCTTGTGAAGTCTCACCACATAGTTCATTGCTGCCTTGCCGACTTGGGTGCGAAGCTGTGCATTGCTTGTCACTGAATCCACCTCCTTTTCAGCATCTTCGCGGTAGTACTTGAGGATGTCTTGCTCAACATCTGGAACTTCTGCTTGTGCTTCCAGCTGCTGTGGCTGTTGCTCAACTGGGATCATCTCAACATCTCCATCCTCCTCTGCAAGAACGGATTCCGGTTCGTCCTCCTCCTGCATCAAAAATGCCAACCGCTTTGCGAGCTCTTCTGGATAGCTCTCTGCCAATGCACTGCGCTTCTGACCTCCTGGAGCGTTCCCTTCAATGGGAACATGGCTGTGCGATCCATCGCAAGCCCATGAGAGTCCATCTGCTAGACTCTGTTTTGTTGTCCTGAAGCATGTCGGTTTCTTTGCCAGCTCGGGCTTTCCTTGATGATCTGGAACCTTCAAACCATACATGCACTGATCAACGTATGCATCATAACTGAACTCCTCCAGACAAGCAAATGCCCTTGTGTACCATGCTCTGCTCAACCAAGGATGCTCCAATGTTGCATTGCGACCTGCTTTGTACTGCTCTTGGTATGCAACGGAACACATGGTCAAGATGGTATCATGGTTGTATTCCCTCTCTTCACTCAGCTTTTGCTTGTACTTCTCCGACCTCGCGATGTTGAGCTCCTGAATAGGCGACCACAACTTGCACATGGGTGCCAACAGTAACTCATCTGGTTCTTCTTCGCGAAGCCTTTGGAGGAACTTGGATCGGTGAGATCCGATGCGAAAATCCCAGCCTGTTTGAAGGGAGAAGACCTCGGTCACGACATGCGGAAACTTGGAAAGATACTTTGTTGTACGACCTTCACCAACAAAAACTTCCCAAATCACTCGACACTTTGTCTCCTTGTTGATTGTCTGACTGACACGCATGATCTTGTCCCCACGACGACATGCCTCCTCCGCCTGTCTCTCAAACTTTCGCAGCATGTGACCGTGAAGTCGTTTGACCGTCTCGATCTCCTCAACGCCGTCGTTCACACGACGTGTGTGAGCCGACGTGACTGTCTGCGTGGGCTCCAACGCCGGATTGGCGTTTTCGGCAATCATGACCTCCTCCAGCAACTTCTGCGCTCCTTGTTCGATAGGTTCGCCAACGTGCGATTCAACGTCCTCTGGCAACAAAACCATGGTGGGTTCTTGTGCAATGCATCGACGAATGTCCTTGCCAAGGTGCAATAGGTGCTCACCTTTTGAACCTGTTGGAAGTTCCTCCCAGTCGGTATCTGGCCACTTCATCTGTTTTGACCGGTAGTCAACGATGAGCCCTAACTTCTCCAGCATCGGTCGTCCGACCAAGATGGGAGCTGTACCTTGAATCACATAAGTCAACACATCAATGCGACTGTTGCTCAGGAACACGGGTAGAACCATGCACCTGTTGGTGGTTTCCTTCATGCTGTTGCCATACTTGAAGCCTTTCTCACAATGAAACATTGGGATGTCGTGGATGTTGTAGCCCTGTTCCAACAGAAAACGAAGGTATTTGCGAATCTGACATGCTGATCCCAACACCGATGCTGCACCTCCGTCCTGAACTGCTGTGTCGTCTCCAACAAAATCATCCTCTTCAATGTCAATGTTGAATGCTTCTGTTGACAATGTTGTATCAACTGGAGGCTCAACCGACTCAACCATGTTCACACCACCTTCAGGCTCGTCTCCAAGCTTTCGCTTCTTGTCGGATCCTGGTGGCATGGGACAATTTCTGGCCCAATGTCCAGCATTGCCACACCTCAAACACAGCTGACGTCCAGATCCCATAGCCGCTGCGGCACGACCTTTTGGGTTTCCAGACTTGCCTCCCTTGGAACTTGGTTTTCCTTTGCCTTTTGACTTCGACTTCGATGAATTGCCTTTGCGGCTCTTACCACCGGGATGTGAACCTGAAGCACTCGGCAACATGGCCACAACGGGGTAGAAGCCACGAGATGTACGAAGGGCGTTCATCTGTGCTTTGGCATCTTGATAATTTGCAAGCACATCATCATACTCATCAACGTCATACACCTGCTCACAATGCTCTGCCAATGCAACCTCATCGAATTGCTCTGATGAACCTTCGTGCCAATCATCTCACTCATAGTCTTCACCAAAGTATGTTGGCGAGGGATCAATGGCGAACTCTTCCGATCCAGCTGGCCAATCATACTGCGTGTCCTCATCACAGTAGAACGCGTCAACTGGTTTTCCCATTGGCCTTGACCATCTTGAAGTCGACGATGAGGATTGTAGTGTCGAGTCCTGCCCCAAAATGAAGCTCATCGACTTCATCACCTCCTCAATCGTCAGTCCAGTGGTCCCTGTATTCGTTAGGATCAGCTGCCGTTGCTCCTTCGTGATCCCTGACCGTCGAAGGAACCACCAAGCTCTCACTTTCTCCGGCAGCTCAACATTGTGGGTCACCTTCAGCCTTCTCTCACACCTGGTGTAATCATTCATGTAATCTTGCAATGTCTGGTGTGGTTTTCGCTGAAGCTTCACAAAGTACTGCTCGAAGTCGTCCGGCAACTCTGTCAATGGATCGAATCGAAATCCTCTGTCCAGCCGTGTAAACAAAAGATCATATGCATCATCACCTGACATTTGTTCCATGGTCATGTCTTCGGCCAAATCCCAAGCCTTCCCAGTCATCAGAGTGACCAGGTTGTAGACCACCTCATTGGTGCGATTGCCCAACTGCATCTTCTTTCTGTAGATCTCACAGCGTTTGCGAAATTCTCTGTAGTCTTGCATGTTGTTGCTGAAAACAGGAACATAGTTGTCGAGCTTTGCCGTGCTCACCCCACTATGGACATTTGTCTGTCCCGACTGCTGTTTGGGAGCCATCACAATGCAATGTCAACTCAATGTCCTGTCGACACCACAAAATGCAATGTAATGCAATGCCAACCTCAATGTACAAGCACTGCACCAAAAACGACAATGCCCCGCGGCAGCCTCGTGAGGCTCCGCTGCCAACAACAAGAGTTGATATAGCAGCCTCAAAACAACTCCTGACAGGAATGGCCCTCGAAGTCCACTCCAAACCAAACACTAAGCGAACAGCACAGCAACGACTGCACTGTTTTACATGGCGCGCCAAGCTCAGCTACAAATGCCCTCCCACTTGGACCAAACGATCATGAAAGATTCGGATGGATCTTCACAGACCCAAAATACAGACCTCGGAATAGGAATGTGTTTTTGGGGGGGTAGTGCGGGACTTCTATCAGCGCCACGCAGCCTTGCCCAGAAAAGGAGTTTGTGAGAGTATTGGGATGCCCTCCAATACTCCTTGAACCAAGTGTACAAAAGGAGTTGTAGCTGTGGTGACTGTTTATCAATCCCGGATTTTCTGGTTCCTGTATACAACGGAGTTGATCCATGTTGCTTCCCTGGCAGACCTGCCCAGTCTGCCTTTTTCATCCACTTGGAGAGGTGCAGTGTCACAGTGGTCATGGCACTTCTCTGGCATGCAGTCATGGCCGAGTTGAAAGTGATGGCATTGTGCACTTTGCCACATCTTGCACATCCTGATCATGGCCAGGGGCACTTGTATATGAGCCATTTATATTTCTGTGAACTTGCAGTTGGTAGATCAACGGTTACCATGGGTTTTCTTTAAGCCAAATTCTAACTCCCACAGCTATAGCAAGCAAATATCATCAATATCCCAAAGGTTTAATCAAGTTTGCTCTTTTAGTATGGCCTTCCCTCCACCACCCTTGGCCCTAGTCCCAACCACGATGCTGACCACGACCGCATGTCCTTCCAAAAGACTGAGCGCCACCGACCAAGCACTTCCTGTGCTGCAAGCGCTGATGGCACTGTTGAAGCTGATGAGATCTGCTTGCAGCGCCCAAGCAGGGAGGTCTTTCAACCTTCGTTTCAGGTAGAGCACTTGAATGCATTGGATCCCACACAAGTTTGGCTGATAGAGCGGTTGCAGCCGGTCTTAGGGGTCTTAGGACTCTGGTGTGGCCTGTCAGTTGGCTTGTTTCTGTTGGGCTGCCGGTGTCTTTCAAAGAACTGCTCTGTTGGGTCCTAGGGTCATCTTTCATTAAAGTGAAGCCTTATTCTCCATTGTTGGCATGTGTTTCTCCCAGCAAAGGGGTTAAGGGATTTGGGAAATGGGTGCCTACTTTAACTGAAGGACAACTGTGGTGGAGCAGAGAAGAATTTGCGAGCAGGCAAATTAACATTGGCATGACAAGAGGAAACAAGTTATATAATATGCCTTACAGCGGCAAAGACCTAAAAAACAACACAAGAACTCGATTGCAAAATAGGAAAGCACTCTCTATCTCTCTCGCTCTGAAGCTTTTTGAGCCAAGAATCAATCTCAATGCCTGTTGCCATTCACCAGCCTTGTCACAAGCAGCGATCGCTGAGTTCAGGGTGATGAGATTTGGGGCCGTCCTTGGAATGGCGCTTCGGGCCATCATCGCTGCATAGCACAGGTGGTACGTTGGTTTTGGCTGCATATCACGGGGTGAAAAGTACCGAAAGGACATGAAAGAACACCAGAAATGGTCGCTCTAAATCTTCCTGAGTTGTCTGGGAAGTGTGCTCTCTATCTCTCTCTCATGCCACAATATCAAGTGCAAGTCCGCCCGCCCTGCCCCTGCCAGGGCACGATCTAGAGACCATGATGTTCAACAAATGCAATGCATCTTTCCAACGCCAGCCCTTTTCGCAGGCATGCACTGCTGCACTGTAGGATATCACCTGATCTGATGAGGGGACTTCCTTCCCGTGTTTCGTGCACACCTGAACTTAACAAGGGGAGATCTCCGGCCTCTGCCGACGACTCTGAACCTAAAGAATCAAACATGTCATGAAAATACTTTTTTGGGGGACCCCACCCGCCTCACCTCTTGAAAAAAAACACCACTATGCAAGAATCCTCACGGTTGAAGTGCACGTCACGTCAGGTGTCAACACCATCGCTGACATCTGCTGCAGGAGAAGGAAGGACACATCTGGCTGAGCACTTGTGGCACAAGCACTGATGGCAGCATTGAAGGTTCGAACCTTGGCCATATCATTAGGAGGTTTTGGAGCAGCAGTGCACTGTTGAAATGCTCACAAATGAACCCATGCGAGTTGAGTTTGCTTGAGATACAGCATGATACCACTGAGCATTGTCTCTCGCTGGCCCACAGCAAATGAGCAGCATTGCAAAAGCAAATGTATATATATATAAATGGTCAATTAGAGTCATATAGCACCCCGTAGAGCAGCAAAACCGTTCCAACTGAGGCAATGAAGCAGTGGGGGAACCAAGGGCTCGGCATTGGCCATCCCAAAAGGCATCTGACTCCACAGCCTCAGCTCTAGAGCACTTCAAACGTCCTCAAGGAGTCAAAGGGAAATGACGACTTCCTCCTGCACACTCTAAGCAAACAAGTATGTGCCACAAGCTGAGCCGGCTCATGAATTTGTCCCAACTACCACGAAGTTATCGTGACAATGTTGCATATTCCACCTGCACCATGCACTTTCAATGCAGCCCAAATCATATTCCACTTTCTGGACCGGTGGCAGCAGTGCCTCTTGCCAGCGTCCACCTCGCGAAAAAAAAGCAAAAGCCCTCCGCTCGCTCCGACTGCTCTTCGCTCTTGGCTCTTCCCATCTGTCGTGGTTGATGGACTGGATTGACTGGATACGTTTTCAACTCCCGAAACACCAACGAGACTCTCTTCCGGCCTTTCTCACAAGAGCTCATTGCAGCATTGAAGCCTCGGGGAAGAGCGTGGCACTGTGAGGAGTGAACTCATGCTCACTCTGAGAAGCAAAAGCCAATGAAATTGGCCAGTGGAAATGTCAATTCGACATGGCATGATAAACGATGATATGTACGTGTATGTATATATGTATTATTATGCATATGTACATGCTTACATGACAGGAGAGTTGTTTGGCTTTTGACCCTCCACAGTCGATTTGTATACCTCCCTCAAAAAGGCCATAAACAACATGCAACTAGCTTCCAACTCAAGTTGAAGTCACCAAAAGAACTATCGTGTACCGCGCGTTTGACGGATTTAAAGAAAACTACAATAAATCCCTGAAACACAGCTGAGGGATTTTGCGCGCATGGAAAGCATCGCTGAGCGGAGCAAGAAGCTAATTACGTCAGGAACCAACGCCATCTTGGCCATGTCCTTAGCTGGCAAGGTTCAAGAAATGTCAGCACTAGATACATGTGATCCCGTTGCGATATTGGCTCAAATACTGCAACGTGCCGCATGCCGCCTGGAATAGATCTTGTTTGCAAATGCCACTCTGAATTCATGGAATAATTCGGAATAATATGGAGCTTTTGTTGACCTCAGGTGGTGCATATGTTTTCTTCATAATTCTTCCTTGAACGGCAAGGCCTCAGTGAATTGCCAGCAGGATCTGACAGATCTGATATTGTACATAGCTGAGTCCTCCAATTGGGGGGGGGCCACTGAAAAGCAGCGGGATGATATGGAGGAATATACCAAATGTATCTATACTACGTAGGGTCCTGAGTCCCAAGAGTAGAAGAACACCATCGACTTGACTGGCCCATGACGAAACATCTCCGGCTCTTGCCTCCGATCTGTTTTTTAGCGAGCATCTTGGAATAAAAGCAGCGATTCTACCCAACGCGCCGCCTGGCAAGGCGTCAGATTGAAACATGTGGGACCCCTCTCGCAAACATGGTGACAAGCATGTGATGAATATACCCTCGGTATGTTTTTTTGGGGTGTGTGTGTGTGTATGTATGTGGGTGTCCCTCTCAGGAGTCGGCCCGAAATGCCATCCGGAAGTCCTGAGTGCCTCACAGTTGCTATCTATCTGACCCCATCATGTACCTCCATGTTCCTCCCGTGTGGTGGCCTTCTCACATGCGCTGATCGAGGAGTTGTAGCTAATCACGTCGCACAAGTCCTGCCGCACCTTGGGTGACGCACTCCACATCACTCCACTCCACACATCTCAAGGTTCATTGGTTCATGGCAAAGATGTTTGCACTTGGACACCCTTGAACACCCTTCAACGCTTGGTGGAGGAAACTGTTCCAAGTGATGGCCCATTGTACAATTATGGCTTGGACTCCTTGCATCCTGGAGCCGTCTAATGTTTCCTCATCCAAGGAGCCATCAATTGAAGAAGGCTTAATGCATGCTCCCATTCAGCACACTTTTCACATGCGCTGATGGCAGAATTGTATGTAAAACTGTTCGGCAAAATCCTCCCTGCCATGCTGTGCAACCTGAGAGCGGTGCTTTCCGATTTGGTCATGATCGCCGGCCCACGCGGAACAGCCGTTTTAAAAGGGGAGGAGCATCGTTCCGCACAAGTTGCGCACGCGACGGAATGTGAAACTGCCCTTGAGATCCATTGAAAACTGTTCTTGCACGGCTCGGTCTTGCTTCGTCACATCCGGTTATCCGGTTGCATGCTCTTTTTCACTCATGCCGACTACACAGAGCTTGTCTCTGGTGTCGTGCTGATATGATGGAGCCTAAGAGAACCCGCAGCCCTTGCAATGCTAGCGCGGAGAGACATAATATTTTTTTGGCCATTCTAGAAGTGAAGGGGCCACAGACTCTAGCTTGGAGGGTCTTAGACTCTATCACTTTTCTTGGCTGGGACTCACTGAGAACAGTGCTAGTCCGTGGCCGGAGCGCTGGTTTTGCAAGAATGTTGCCGGCAGGTGCGTAGCCACTTGCTCATGTAATCTAGCCAAGGGCCATGATGCAGCTAGTGCAGGAAACATCCGACATTCATCAGCGGAAGCACTGCGCTAGTAGGAACAGCCCGCCGCAAAAAACAGGAAGTGCCATAGTCTCCAGAAATGGATTTTTAAATGTAAACTAAACACGGAAACTGCATGAAGGCACGCTGATTGAGGCTGCCTGCAACGATGGCCATCATGATGCTAGCAAACAAGTACGCCCAAGCAGTGACAGTCAAAGGAGGATAGCGCTCCAGCAAAAGCTTGGAAGAGATCACGTAGAGGGAGGTGCCAAGGCAATTGAGTGCCAAGAGCAGGTTCCCAATGGCAGCAGGACTTCCCACGCTTTGCCCATAACACACTAAGAATGCACCACCAAGAAAGGACAGCAGAATCCCCATGATCTTGCCACACGTGGCTGGCTCCCAGCCAAGGGAAAGGCTGATGGCCAAGGTGAAGATGGGCTGTGAGCATCGTCAAGCGATGCCGATGATGGTGCCAAATAACTTCATCCAAATGATAATAGGCACGGTTGGCAAACATGCAACAACCCCAAAGGAATTGTATACTGCATCTAGCCTTCCCAAGCTGGGGCTGCAATCGGCCATCATAGTTCAGCGTCATCAGCAATACACTGGCAAATCAAAGAAAAATACAAAGGGCTGAAGGTTCCACACACAATATCCTCACCACTGCGATGCTTCCAAATAACACCTCTCCAAGGATCTTTCTGGCATACTTAAGGCGGTGCACCGCGAAACGCTCAACAGGGAAAATGGGGGTTTGTGACCCTTCGCCTGGTTTCAAAACTCAAAACACATGCAAAAATCATGCAGCGCCAAGTTGTTGACGTCCATGGAAACGATGTTGATCCTGGCTCAGAAAGAACATTCTGGGAAGATAAACATTGGATATTATATCTCCCTACTTGCGCTGCTGATGGGAAGATCGCAACATGTAGCGGGGCACGGCCCGGTATTCTATGCAATTTCTGTCGATGTGATTGCAGTTTGCACTACGGGGTCACCTGATCTTCTAGCATCTGCTAGCCACTCAGCGGCAAGACTAGTCACTGTCACGACAAACCACCCAAAAGCGGTCCGCGAGCACGTCCGTGGCGTCGGCAGTCCGTGGATGCGATGCACGTCGATCGCTTTGCGATCCGGAAAAATGCCCGATCTGAGTCCCATTGCGGTCACCGCGGGGTTTTTGCCACGGAAACAGAAGAGTGAGTCTGTAACACAAGCGCCGGTACACTGCCCGTAGGGACGGTCGGCCCACCAGGCACCTGAGAATCACTAGGCCATAAGCTGTTGAACGTTGAACAGCTTGAGATGAGAACAGCCAAAAGGTCGCACATGGTAGCGGTGAAGATAGGGTGTCCAAGCACAAGTTCTGAATGTTTTTCTATCCTCACTTAGCCCAATAGCGATGGCCTCCAACCTAAGAGCAAAAAGGCGGTAAACGTAGTCCGTGAAACGTCGTAGCATCTTGGATCATGTCCCCAGGGTACTTTTCCCCACCTGTCAGGTGAGGGCTTTGAGATTTTGTGTCAGCTGCTTTGCTCCTCCTCTCCTCCTCCTCGTCCTCCTGGTTGTCGGCCTCCTCAACTGCGAATGCTGGATGGCAGTGTTCCCCGCCGCCAGCTCTGGAATGGCAGTGTTTCCGCGGCAGCTCACGCTGGGAACGTTTCCCGCCGGCCTTCAACCGTCAGCTCCGGATGGCAGTGTTCCCTGCCAGACCTCAGCCGGACCTCAACCACGAGTTTCGCTCGGCAGCGTTCCCCGCCGGACCTCAACCGTGAGCTTCGGCTGGCAGTGTTCCCCAGCGGACCCCAACCGCGAGTCAGAAGATCTGCCAGATAAAACGCCAGAAAGAGTGCCAGAAGACCTGTCAAGGAAAGAATGTCAGAAGATATGCCAGAAGCATGTCAGAAAATATGCCAGAAAGCATGCCGGAAGAGATGCCAGAAAGAATGCCAGACGATATGCCGGAAATAAGGTCAGAAAGAATGTCAGAAGTTATGCCAGAATACAGTAAATGTCAGAAAATATGCCAGCAAGAATGCCGAAATAATGTGTCAAAACATGCCAGACAATTTGTCAGATTGAAATGCCATGGTGGGGACCACTCGAAGTAAATCAGTTTTTGGGGGTTGGGAAGTGAGCATGAACTGCCACAAATACAATGCTCCGGAATGGACATGAATCATACAATCATACCACACATCTGGTGTCAAACAAGTCCTTACAAGGACGCCTTTGGAACATTGTTCCTTCACACGCCAGCTTTGCCGCCACATCTGAAGGTACAAACATGGAAGTGGAAGGCCTCCTCTCGTCCTTTAAAAAGGGAAATGGCCATCCCTGGGCCCACAATCGCACTTCCATGTGGGCTGGAGTGTGTACATGCCTGTTGGACCTGTAGCACATGCATCTTGAGGCAATTGTTTTTTTCATGCGTCAGCTAGGCTGAGTGGCTACGAGTACATTCTCGACTCTCAGGTGCATCAGCAGCATCACCTGCTATGGAAAGGGCCTGTGATTCTTCATCAGCCTCATGCTGATGTTTGCCATCGAGCACTAGCAAAAATAGTCCCAAGAGAATGCCAATCGAGCCTAAGGCATTCCAACCTGGCATCTGCAACCCCTCAACCCTCAAAAGGATCAAGCACACACTGAGAACACTGCTAGTCAATGGCTGGAGCGCTGTATATGCCAGGACGTAGCCAGCTCGTGCATAGCGATTGGCCCAAGTGATCAAGCTATACGATCCTAAACTTGTGAAGAGAACCCAGTATACCAATGGAAGCACCGCACTGGCAGGAACAGCCCAGGGCAAACATGAGGTTTGATAGGTTCCGCAAGTGAAGTCATCATCACCGGTGGGCGGGCAAACAAACTGAATGAAGGCACACTGATTGTTGAGGCTGCCTGCAACAATGGCCATCATGATGCTAGCAGACAAGTACGCCCAAGCAGTAACAGTCAAAGGAGGATAGCGCTCCAGCAAAAGCTTAGAA